AACAGGCCTCGAGCGCTTTAATCTTTTTAGCTCCAATTGAGACTGGATCTTTCAGGGTAGAGAGTGGTGGTGTGTGTGTGTGTGTGTGTGTGTGTGTGTGTTTTACAGCCATCCCCACTGTGTTCATCAGTTGCTGAAATGGTGTGAATTCACACTGCAAAGAGTATTAACTGGAGGGGAGAGATTCTCCCTCCCCCGCCCACCTGTCACAGTGAAACTCCAGTGCAGAGAGCGTAGAAGTATCCTGGATAATCTTTTGTGTTTTGACCGGCCCCTAGAGCACCCCGGGAAGGCATCGAGAGCAGCCCTGGCGGGTATTTTCACTCTGCAATGAACAGGAGTTTTAAAAATTCTTTTTCTTTTTTTCAGCAGAGGTTGAGAGAGCAGGGGATGGCCAACAACAGCTCTTTGTCAGTCCGCGGCTCCCTTGCTTACGATGACTTTGCCAGCCCTGACTGGTACATGTATGAGTCCACGGAACCTGAGATGCCGCAAGATGAGTGAGTGATCAACCCCTGTTTTCCACCCCCAGTTATATCCTGCAGCCGGAGACGGCGCTGTCCTCGGGGGAATAATTTTTGTTTCAAATTCCCATTTTTCTTGCAATCTCTTTCCAGCTCTTCACCCTCCCAACTTTCTCCTTGCCCCAGGGTGACTTTTTAGGAAATTACTAACTTTAAAAATTACAGTAGCAACACCTGAATGCTCCGTGCCTCAGTTTCCCCAGCTTTAAGGGGGGGGGTGCTGGGGCGAGGAGCCCGTGCAGCCCTCCCCGAGGCTTGGTGGCACCAGGGCAGGTTTCAACTCACTAAAGTTGAGCTTGCGAGCTGCAGTAGAGAATTGGGCCTTTTTGGTGCCATTAATCGTGGGTCCGGGCTCTAGAGCTTCTCCAGTTGTGGTGGGAGAGGTCCAGGCTGGATATTAGGAAAAACTATTTCCCTAGGCAGGTGGGGAAGCGCTGGGCTGGGTTCCCTAGGGAGTAGTGGAGCCTCCATCCCTAGAGGGGTTTAAGTCTCGGCTTGACAAAGCCCTGGCCGGGGTGATTTAGTTGGGATTGGTCCTGCCTAGAGCAGGGGGCTGGACTTGATGAGCTTCTGAGGTCTCTTCCAGCTCTATGGTTCTATGAATGAGCAACGTGTATTATATAAATTGAAATAAGTGAATGAGGAAATAGCTTCAGCATTCCCCAAGCAACATCAGCTCTCTGGCCTGCCCAGCAAAACAGCTGCTAGTCAGACTGTTACCTGTGCCTGCTGTGCCAAGGTTGTTTTAAATCCCGAATATATTTTTGGTGCTGTGTTAAGCTTGCAGTTTAAATAGCCTTGTTTTGTTTTGTGCATTGATCTTTTTGCTTCTAGAGGGGATAAGGGCAGTGACTTGTGCAAATGTCACACAATGAGCTGTGTATTTGATCTGAGGAAGTGGGTCTGGCCCACGAACGCTCATCATCTAATAAACCATCTTGTTAGTCTTTAAAGTGCCACATAGTCCTGTATTTTGCTTCAGCTACACCAGACTAACATGGCTACATTTCTATTACAATGAGCTAGTATCTTAGCTGTCAGTAGAAGCCAGGAGTCCTGAGCCCTAGTCATCGAAGCAGGAGTCTATGAATGGGATTTGCCAGATAGGCACTGGGGCCTTGTTTTAGCTGGACTGTAGCTAGCTCAGTTGGTGCTGGGTGGTTTGCTGCCTCCAATTTCCAATAACCTTTCACCTTGCTGCCTGGTTGCTGAAATGTCTATAATGAAACTTGATTGCGCATTACAGGTGGCCTGGTCTGAGCTGCTTGAGCATTTCCTGGTGCTCTAAGGTGGTGTCTGCAGAAATTCGTCATGTCGCATGGTGCAAAACAGCTGGCCACTGGGATATTTTAA